GCAATATTATATATTTAGCAATATAACCTCAAAATTATTGTTGCACAGGTTATTCATGAGCACGTGTCGCAGCTATCGAGTCATGGCATTACAATGGTATTACGTATATTTATATTATGTGCGATATAACACCGAAGACATTTTTATTATCATAACACGTCGTTATTTTTTGTGTTACCAACGACTAAGATGGCAGGTCATTCACATTTACATAAAATAGAACAAGAAAAATACCAAAATTACTTTATTTCATCCCTCTGTAGAAACTTGGGTCATTTATAAATTCAGATTTTCAACAATCTTTACATCTAAATGTTTAAAGTTTTTTTAACTTGTATATATAAATCCAAAGCCACAAACCACTATCACTGCAATAAAACGTGCAACTGATATGGCACATTTATTTTATGTGTTTTATATAACGACTTGCAAGACACAACGATCAGTTTGTTACAAGATATTCCAATCTATTACATTGGATTTGATTTTAAATCTACGCAGATTCATTATATTTAATATAAAACTATCAAATAAATAAAAAAAATGTGGAATTCCAAACCGATATTTTATAGAAATAATCTATATAAAGTGTGTGTGTTTTTTAACTAGCTGTTTCCCGTGACTTCATAAGAGCGGAATTAAAAAATTAGGTAAACAAACAATGTAACCGTTCCTCCTATGAATTGTATGTCATAGGGTTTTAACAAGTCGACTAATAACCTCTCGGTTTAAAACAACACCGAACCGCTATCAACACGTATATAATAATAACTAAGCATTTTAAACTTGTCGGCTCAAATCACGTTTAAAATTCATGAGGTTGGGCGCCTTCAAATTGAGATTAACATCGACATTTTTCACAATCCGACGGTCGCGAGCTTAAAGTGTTTGCTCTACGATCACTCCGTCAAAAGCATTATTTAAAACAGCATGATGCTAATGGAACTTCTGCATTCGACCGTACAACTGATTTAGGAACTACTAACTTTTCGTTTACTTTTAAATTTAAATTTTTTCCCACTATTTTTGTTCATATTTAAAAAAAACATAGTGTACCAAAAATTATTAGTTGGACTGTGATAGTCCAACTTAATAACTATTGTTTACCGAATTGAAGTATTTAAAATATCCAACTTTAAATAAGATCGTTTATCACTGTTTCCTTTGCCTTTCAACATCTGTCAAAACAAAAAAAAACTAACTGTCAAACACTACGTCGGTCTCCTTTTTTACAATTCGCAATTTATCACAACGGACATTTAGCAAATGCGACTTTCATTGAATAAACTGACACACGTTTGCGGATCTCTTTTTGTTTACACAACCGAAGCTCCCCAATTTTATGCTCGTTCATTGAGTTCAAGTTCAAGAACGAATTTAAAATCGATTTCCTCTGAGCCAAATTATTCCCGCAAAAACTCGAAGCGGTTTAAATGGAGACCAGCGATGAATAATGCATCCTGAAGTGGATACCTGGCTTTTTGCCGTTTGTATTCTGCTTTATTTATTTGAAATTTAAAGCGATGCCACATACACTGTGGTAGATTATTTTACAAACGAATATATAAATTATTTATTATTGCAACACAATACTCTCAGCAAATCAAAAGCCAAAAATGAAAAAGTTTTGAGATATTCGAGACTGAAACAATTTGTCTTAAAGTTTAACGTATTGTTCGCTGTTTTAACGTCGTAACCTACACAATTGATGTAAATATTATACATTAATATGAAAAAAGTTCAAAAAAGTAATTTTAGTATTGTTAAGTTAATGAAAAGTTGATTTCCATATGCTTCCCTTTTGTAATTCCTTTGCCTTACAAATTAAAAAGTGTTAAATGTCTTATTTGCAATATCACGGTAAAATAACTTTTAAAACTGATTTATTGAAACCATAAACAACCGTAGGATTGAAGGGCGACATCGATCTGAATTGTAAATGAAGGCTCACAGTTTGATCACTTAGATGGATTATTTAAAACAGCTATAGATCACTAGATCACAGCGATTAAACTAATAAACCGTACAGCCCCGGCAAACACGGAAGATTCGATCTGTACACAAGATTTACATATAGGGACGTCAAACCAAACTAATATTATCATAATTATTTATTGTTAATTTTACTTGTATTTATATTATAATGTAAATAGTATAATGTAAATAACCATTGTGCCAGTTTCCTTTTCTACAATTCAATAATTTGTTGCCTTAATAGATTAAAAAGAAAGGGTATAGATCTGTATCCAATAAATTATGAATTTCTTCTGGTCCCGTTTTTTATTATAGTCAAATGTCTTATTAAGTCGGATTAATAACCATTTTACAATGGCCTTAACGAAGTTCTTGTAATAAAAAGCTGTCGATAGGTTTTAATTAAGACAAGTCCACAAACTGAACTGGTGCATACGACCTGCCCACACTAACGATGACAACATTCCGCTATCAATCAAGATGCCACTTCTTGTTCTTAAATAAAATGCAATTTATCATAAATTTTAGTATCTTTTAAAATCAATATACGTCAAAATGTAGATAATATTTGAAATCGTGTAAAATTACAGTGGAGTACCGCTAAAATAATACTTTTATTATCTCCTTTCTTGATATTTTTAATCTACATGATCACGATAATGATATGATGATGATCTAATCAACTGTTCTCTAATACGTACTTGCTATCTCACCATTGTCAAATTTACACTGAATAAAAGCTAGCAGGACACTTATTCATAATTGATGCAAATAAAAGAAAACTATTCGTTAATATAGCAATTATTTGCTAACGGTTAATGATTCAAAACCGCACGTTCTCTCTCCTTGACCTTCGCGAATGCAAACATGGCCGCCTGAATGGCGCGAAAATAAAATAGAAAGATATTACTCGTGCCGCCAACTACGTCATTCTAAAGTAATTCATTATTTTATTAAACTTTTTTTTTTACTTGCAATAACTTGAAACGATCTTGAAATAATAAATCTAATATAAAACTAATGCTAAAGTATTACAGTAATTGACATCATCAAATATTAAGGCCCAAATTCGTTTATTCTTTGTATCCTATCCTAGTAATAAATAACTAAATTATAAAAGGAAATTTATTTTTCACTTCACGCGTTCGAAGCACGTTTACCATAAATTTCCTAATGTTATTTGGTCGTCAGGGCTTGCGCAATCGCGGCCCGCAAACGCGCTCCTTATCGAAGGTGGAGGTAGTCGTGAGATGAGGCACGTCGGCAGAAACTAACGCAAATGAGCAAATTTAAATACAATCTTTATCAGATAACATTTCCTTGCAATCACTTTTATCAAAACGATGGAAACTGCATTCTAGCGGAGCTAGAAGAGAGCTAACTATGTGTTTTAGTTTATTGATAAATGAAAAAGCACGCTTAAAACACAGATGTGTTTGAACACAGAGTGAAAGATAGTTGGGAGATTTGAATGAAAACTAATTATATCCTTTCTTTGTTTTCTTTTTTAAATTCAAGATATCAACTTGTTTGCAAAAAAATCACTTATCGCAACGAGTTTAAAACTAGCTATAAAATCGAGAATAATCTAGCTGCTTTTTCTTGTCTGAGCCTATCTATTTTCAAATCATGATGCGTTAATTACTTCCATATCGGCTACAGAAGGCTACGTCACAAAGATAATACGCAACGCAAACGCTCGTGCGATTTCTACAAACAAGGCTCTGCCAGTTTCACACGACGGCAAAAACTTGGATAGAGCAGTAGAGAATAACACGACAATGGTTTTAACGAACACGCCGATAGAGAACAGTACTGTTTTGACAGTAACTGTTGGATGGGTATTCAATGTTACGATTTGAAGACCGAAGATCTGCGTCAATCGATGTAAGTGGGACAAGGACACAAAATGATGATGTTGATTAACTGTGTGTTCAAACAATTGCTGTGCTGCATTGTCTACTGCTCTGCTGCACTTCATCTCCGTGTGAAGCATGCGTTACAAACTACGTAAACATACGTACGTGATTGCGAAAATGACGCGAACATTAAAGACCTAGTCACACGCCGTGTCATGGCGCTAAAAACATCTTATTTCCATTGTAAACAGTTTCATCATTTAACATAGTGACATAAAGTTCAATGGCACGCAATAAATTATTACTTCCACAAATATTATGTTATAATATTTATTCTGGTTACAAGTAACAATCAATATAAATGTTTCTATTACGTCATTGATCATGGCGTATCGCCCGCCCGCATGGTAATCACATTCCAATCATTTTAAAGCGGTTTAATGTTAGATGCCTTAACACATCAATATAAATGAACTCTCCATATAAACAACATTCTCATAAGGATTAACGATAGGGGCAATATACAAAAGATAAAAAATTAAATTAAAAATAAAACAAACGTAACTAAAATAAACAAATTAATTTATTTTTTTTCTCTAAATATTTTCGTAATAATGGACTCTTGCTCCAATTAAAATCCAATTTACATATCGTCCTTGAAACTGTGATCTGATTATAAAATGATTGTCCGTACAGCCGTGCGTCGCATCTGTTACATAACAAATATTGCGTAGCTTATGTATATTAATATACTTCCCATTGATAAGTTTCCTCATTCTGTAACAAATCTTCCGCTTCCTTTTCTGTTAAATTGTATATACAAGTTATATCGTTTTGTTATTATAAAGATATAGATGATGTTAGCATTTTCAACTTTCAGTTTAGTTTATCGCGGTATATTCGTTCCCAATAAATTGACTTGTTAATTTTCAATATATTAAAGGACACGTGTCCGCTAATCCATCAACCGTGCTCAGCCAATGTACATTTATGTACCTATATTATAAAAATAATTTAATATATTAAGTGCAAATTGCTGTCTTGACATCGCTGTAAACGCCACTTCACGTTTTGCAGATATGAATTGTTTATGTAAATTACGCAAGACATAGTTTCAAAACAAAATAAGTAATGTTTTACAATAAATATATTGTTTCATTGTTACAGTATGGCGACGCGGACACCGCAACCGCTGCATATATCTTTGGCGTTGCTAGTAATCGCGGCATGGCTGCTGCGGCCCGGACCCGCTGCCAGTCTGCGCGGATGGCGCGCCCTCTACGTCGCCGCTGTCGCCACGCACCTCGGCGCGCAGATTTGGATGACACTCATTTCTGGTTAGTACATCACCGTAACTTAACCCACCAGCCTTTTTCCCATAGAGCCCTTTTATGTGTTATGCGAAAAATGTGAACAATGTCTTAGATCGTTGATCCCTCTATGTTTTTTTCATATTAGTTATATTTCTTTGGCAAAATTACGAATGAACGAATACAATATTTACAGCAGTATGTAGGCGGATGTCGCGACGTGTTCTTTGACTATGACAACAAAGAAGCTTGCCAATTTTTAAATTTACTTGCTGTTTTTTTTATCAAAGCTCGAGACAATTGCGGGTCTATTTTCCCGAATGTAACCAAATTTTTGATGTTTAGATTCTAGTTTAGACTGACGTAATAAAATCTGTATCTATAAATACATATAAAATGCACCTGTTTTAAGTAAAAAGTAAGGAGATTTAATTATCAGTTGGTCGGTCATCGTCCGGGCAAGCAATAGCCCGTGGCCTTGGCCAATTCTCGGAACAAGGGAATACAAAAAACAGGAATTGCATCTCATACGAGAACCCTCCGATAATGCATTTGCAATGTGTACTTATACGTTTTTTTCTCTTTTATTTTCTCCGGGTTGTATTTTTCAATTTCCATTGTTGTCCACTTCAACACGATAATAATCGTATATAATATTTACATTACTATAAGATAAACTCTCACGCATATGAGCTTAGATGGATATAATAATTTGATTTCTATCTTTATGTTGATGTTTACATAAAGAATACCAATAAAAACAAAAGAAGCATTAACAATTGACGACTTCAAATACTTTTGGCCCAAAGAGCGTGCGATAACGTATAAGTACAAAGCCACAGCACTCAAGAGGATTGTTGACCTAATTGCTCCGAAGGCGATTAGGAAATAGGTGTACAAACATCGATTAAGTTAACATGCGCCACACTTTTCCTGTTTGCTTTACAATTGAGATGTATGCGTAATACGAACGGTAAACCATTTTTTTCTCACAGACGTTTTTTTAGAAAATTGACCAAATGAAATTTTACGACTTTATTTACTACAAATTTTTTAAATGTTTATTTAAGACACGATGGTTTTAAAGAAAATGATATTGTAATACATACTATTTCATCCCCTCCCCTTAATTAAGGCATTAATTAAATAGGGTTGCATCGCCTTTATAAATTAATAAATCCATAAGAACCCTTCATATAAAATTTTCATTGAAGTCGCAAAAAGGGTTCCAATCATCAGTCTGAAGTATCTTCAACCATTACATTACACTTTTGCACCCTAAAAAAACCCCACATCCGTCAAATTCACATCTCAGTTCCCCATCACGTTCTCAAACAATTAATTACAATACATTTTATTCAGAATTCCATTACGTTTTTGTTTGAATTTCGTCGCAACAGCAGGAACGAATGCGCTGCATTTGGTCTGCGCAGGCGCAGTGCAGTTTAAAATTCCACGCGGCATGATGTAATGACATATATGATTGTTTTCCGGTTATTTAAGAAATATGAACGCAAAGGAATGTGCTGGAGCATTGTTCTTATATTTTGGCACAAGTCGATTACATATACATTTGTATGAAAACTTTAAACGTGGCTTTCTGAGATCAAAATATTCGTTTATCTTTGTTTTGTGAGATAATGACAGGGATGACGATATGTTTTATATAGAGATTTTTGGTAGAAACCTACGGTTGGTTAGTCACACTTTAAACGAACTTAAAACTGGCACATTGTAAAATATCCTTTATTTTGTTTCGTGTTAAAAACATTCAATAAAGTAGATAGCATACTTGATTGTAATTACCTTATAATTATCATGTTTATAAAAACGTTGAATTACTTAAATATAAAAAATAAACTTTCAAGTTTTTAATATTTAACTTTCATCCGACAATCGAGATTTTTTATACGTATAAGGTTAACTGAATTAAAAATTATTTGCAATTATCGCGATTAAAAAAATTCAGACTTTTACTATAACTATGTTAATCAAATTATCTAGTATTTAAAAATAATTCTATATGAACATTGTAGATCTCGGCTTGATGATGAACATAATTGATGAGCGGTAAACATCATTATCGTGCATTTAGTAGCCGTCTTCGTCTATTGTAACACGCTGTATATTATACAGCATGTTGTAGAAACAGCTAATGGTCGTACGTTGACAATTCCGTTCTTACTCTCCGCCGGTGTCCCAATTCTGTGATTGCCTGTGGTTGTGACAATTGACGGCCGCTATATGACACTCTTCCGGGATCTACTGATTTGACCTTTAAACGATTCGTTTGATTAATTTGACATCATTACAATTAAATTGTAACAATAGAACTTTTATTTAAAATAGAAAACCATCTTTCGTCCTCCACAAAACCCTTCCTTTATTTCCCTTACCACTGCACCCATAAAGTCTGGGAAGTAACTTGACGCAATACCAATGTTAAATCCACTGCCTCAATTGCTCCACTCTCTCCGTCTTCTACTAACCAAAACCTTCAATGTATGTATAATTTGCAATTTCTCACTCGATAACTAATTTTATATTTCAGGTGTCGTTCTGTACTTCTCGCTGCCTCGGCACGAGTTCGGTCGTGTACAGACGGTGCTCTTCCCCGTCTACTACGCGTTCAATGCGGTGGTGAGCCTGCTGGCCGTGCTCGCTTACTTCCGCACACAGACCCTCACGCATTTCCAACACACCTCCTGGATACAGGTGAGATATAAACAACAAGCTTACTAGCTTTTGTTAAGAATTTTTTTAATACAGATGATAATAAAATAGACTTCGTAGGTGTTAATTATTATAAGAAGAGAAAATGATGCATTTCTTAAGAGCTCTGTGAAATTATTAAATATTCATAATAAAATTTACAAGGATGTTAAATGTGCTCAGAAAAAATTGTGTCCATCGCGCTCGCCTTGGTGAATATACTGTCACGCACAGAATTTATTGTAAAATGCTACAGTACATATGAAATTACAGTAGGTCATTTGCGTTATAAAAGAGAGTTATAGTGTTGTAGGCCTTGTGTATAAATAATTTAATAGCGTGACTGTTCAACATAAATGTAAATTACACAGCATTGTGTCTTAACGAAATGCATCATCACAGACAGTGAGCGAAATGAACATAACCATTTAAGTATTTACTCTTTATATATATTTTATTGACAACTGTTTTACGGGAATTACAACATTACGTAGTAAATAGCTGGCAATCCAAATGACCTTTAATAATTTTATACACTTAATTAATAAATTTAATTAATAACCTACTTTTTTAAAAAATGGCGCCAAAGTTTCACCTTGCCCTTTTCAATTAAATTATTATGTTTAACCTTAATAATTGTTGCGAATTAAAACATTTACAAGTACGCTCAATGTAATCCATTATTATATTATAAAGCATAGCCAATCACATTTAATATAATACATTAATTGTTATTAAAAAAAAATCTGAACTTGATTCAATGAAACATTCTGCCACCATGTACTATATCATAATCAGACTTAATTATTAATCTTCAACGTCCTATTTCGTCATTTTATAATTTCTTTTAAAACGAAGTAAGCTCAACGTAAATTCGTGGCACTAAATAAAAAAAAAATTTGAAAAACATGAATCCAAATAAAATCTGACAGGACGTTCACATTTCGATATTAAAAAAATAACTTGGCACAATGTCCGCCAAGAGTTGAAGTGGCCATAACCTTACCGTGTGCCTGCCAAAATATCTGTTACAATTATTTTGTCATGTAGGTAAAAATAACTATGGTTATTTACTCCTAACCTTAAAAGCCGTTAGTATCCTTGGCCTTTTTAATTTTAAATCTTATAAACTGGAATATAAAAATGTTATTTAACAAAAACAATCACGTCACTATGAATTTTAAGGTCATATTCATTCTGTAAACAAATATTAAGGACTTAATAAACATTTTAGCAACAAATCATCAATATACTTTTAGCGCGCAAAAAATACTACGTCCTCTTCATATTTGTAATTTCTCAAGGTTTCGTAAACTTTGAAGCTTAATAATAGTTATTTAGTTATCAAATTATTGCGTTGCAATTCTTTCAAATTACCTTTTGATTAATGATTGCAACTGAAATGTTATTAGTGAGCTTTTATTCTCAATAACCCTTGACATACATATTCTGAAAAAAAGCATTCACAACCAGTTTATAGGGGTCAAAGCATAAATATATTTATATATATAATTCTTCTGTGAGTGTGTATGTAACTGAACTTCTCTCAAACGACTGGACCGATTTTGATGAAATTTTTTGTGTGTGTTCAAGGGCATCTGGGAATGGTTTAGATTCACAATTTTCATCAAATATTAACTTCATATTAATTTATTCAAATTAAAGACGTGTAGACAGGACAACGTCTGTCGGGTCCGCTAGTATTTATATAAAAATAATTAAATTATTAAAATATGACTTGAGGTAAATGATAAATGGCTCTTGTTGGCATAAAAACTTGCCTGTCTTGCAATATATGTGTTCAAGTAAATTAAGATATCAAACGCAAAGGATAAAACTTTCTATTTTTTAAACAATGTATTAATAGTATTATTGTCTGTTGTTACAGCTAGCGTTGCTGCTAGCAGTGTTCAGTATAGAAGCTTACGTGCGCCTGCGCCTCGTGCAGCCCATGCTGCGTGCCAAGCATGTCAAGACGCAGATGGAGGAGGCTGCGGGGGGCGGACAAGAGGTAACACTAGCACCTTTTTATTCATACTAGCTGTCGCCCGCGACTGCATTCGAGTGGAATTAAAAAAAAAACTTCATTGATAGCCTATGGTTGTCCAGGATGCTACCTACTTCGGTTCCAAATTGTATCCTAATCCAACAAATATGTTTCCAAACTTTCGCATTATTAATATCAGTGTAATATTATACGACAAGTATAATGGAAATAGGCGCCAATTGGTTTGTGTCATATTAACTGACAACTAACCATGGATATCTGCAACAGATGATATTTCCTTTTATAAAAATAATAATTTAATTTATTTGTTGTGTTCAGGTGGGTCGTCTAGTTATGGGCGAGCTGGCCCACTGTCCGCGCTACATCCGCGTCCTGAAGACCTTCCGGGCCTACCACTCCACCATCGCCATGGGAACCATGATCGCCCTCGGCTGCTCCTGCTACTCCACCATGATTATAGTAGACTCGATGTGCCTCTAGACGCGAGCGCGACAACATACAACGAAACAAAACGTCCAATGTTTTATAACTTTAAATCTTTGACGTTTCCCCTGTTTGTGTTGTCTATGGAAGTTGCAGTTAAGGAAAAATAACTCTTTAGTGTTAATGTTTGTTTCTCGTTGTGCGAAATGTACGATGTATGATGTATATAATATGACATGGTTATTTTTCTTTTAACGTTATCATCTACGAATGTGTTACGATATATGTATTATGGAATATGTCTAGATTTTACAGAATTCTGTATGTAAATAACAATGAAATTCTGTAAAATCGATAAAGTATTTAATGGTTTACATTTAAATTAAAAATACAACACGTATTTCAAATGTAAGATTTTCATAAAATAGCTAAGGATGTTGTGATTGCATTTTTAGTGCAGTTATGTATGTTCCAGTTCCGATCCAGGCTGTGCAGTCTGTATTTTATTATATTATAGCTAAATATTAGTTATTGAACGTTTTGTCGTTAAGAGTTATCTGCAGGCGCTGGTCGCGTGAATATTTCCAAATGAAATACGTGTTTTTAACGTAAAAAATGTTTGACTGTGTTAATTAAAATTTGACATTTAATGCACATAATAGATAATTTACAATAACCATTTATAAGTCAATTTTAAGTCCCTCGAATTTGGGTAGAAGGCATATATATATTCTTGCCAATAATAGTACTCGTAGTATTTTTTGTATTTTTATATTACATTGCAGCCGCTAACCATCTTAATTAAAGCTGCTTGGTTACTATAAATGCGACAAATTCAAGTCGCCCGATATCAGAATTCCTACCAGGAATGCCATACAAATTTAGTCTTAAATATAGCTTTTAAGTTTTTAGACATTACGCCGATAATTCAATCGTTTGTAGAAGACTGGAATTTACTAATGTGGCAAAACTAGAGCCTCATGCGACGAACGCGTTCTGCGAAACCAAAGGTTTTTTAAACGTCGTAAACTTTACGTCCCACGATGTTTAAGGAAATGAAACTTTCAAAGATCTCGTTGATTGTACTCATTGATTGTTGATAGTTTTATTTCATAATTTTGCAGTAAGATCTAGTCAGCAATAAACGGAAATTGGTCGTAAAGTCGCGATTTGATATAATTCAGGAGTTTATGCTTACATCTCAAGCCATGTGTTGGATGCGATAGGTTGTCTGTGACATACGATCAAGCAGCTTGCAGTCGCGGACGTATTGTATTATATAAATTTAGCAATATTTAATCTCTAGTTGTAGGTACTTTATACCGATGATCTGAATGTTATCGTGTAAGATATCATTATTTATTCAAAAGAGTGATGAGAGTTTAATTAAGAGATAAAAAATAAATTACTCTACTGAGAAATATATTTGTTGTTTTTCATTTCATAATGTCCTTCAAATATCATATTTCCCCAGATTTCATATACTTATATATGCCATCTGAAATAAAGAGAATTCAAGTCCAATAATAGCTACACTAGTTATAGTTGATACAACTAATTCAAAACATTATAAGAAAAACAGAACAATCCTTTTTTAATAAAAAAAAATAAAAGCAAAATTAATGAGCCTCATTAATGTCAAAAGACTGCAGTGGGAAGCAAATAGTGAACTGTTACTGTGCCCACGGTGCCTGGGGTGGTCGATGGAGCAATCACTGTACTACAAAAAGAACATGTGATAGTTTTTTTATTTAAAAAGAAAATTACTGTATCTCAATCTATTTAGTGGTCAGTAACTATTGTCGCTACCTTTTTGAACATTAATTTAATACAGCTGCAATGTACAAAAAAAAGATGCGTGAAATGTTACGGAACACAACTTGACAACTGGTAACTTTATTTGACTTTGACATTTGTCTCATCTGATATGTGTCAAAAATGATCTTACGTGTTTGGATTGGATTTGTGTTTTATAATTTATTTGCAATTTACGATGAATTTTGAATTATGTACACAGTATTGCAAAACTATTGCTGCGATTACCAAACTCCTCGCTGCCCTCAGTAACCATGTTGTTGATAGGTAGGGCGCAGCAAACCGAAACGATGAAGTGCGTTCAATGTAGTAATTTACAACCAAAAATGATTCTAGATCGATGTAAAACGGTGTTAATATTGTCTAGTGTAGTGTGTACGTTGGCAGTTGTGATATCACTTCACAAGTTGCTCAGCTATGAGGTAAAATTAATAAAACCTTTCTCTCCAATACCAGAGGGTCTGTATGGAAATTATTTAGGACCAGTAGTTGATGAATCACCGCCCCCGCCAGTCAATCGCGTAGACAAGGCTCGCGATGCGGAAGCAGTCGTATCTCTTAATGCCGCATTAGAAATGAAGAAAAATGGTAAGACTGATAAAGCATTAAAACTCTTCCAGCACGCTTTTGCGCTTTCTCCAAAACACGCAGATATATTAAACCATTACGGCGAGTTTTTAGAGGATACAAAAAAGGATGTAGTTAAGGCGGATCAATTGTATACATTAGCATTAACAAATTTCCCTGAGCACAGTGGTGCATTGTCAAATCGGCAGAGAACAGCGAGCATTGTTGAAAACCTGGACCGAGAAATGTTACGTAAAATAGATGAAAAACGAGATGCGTTATTATCAATACCAGAAAATAATTCAGCATTAAGAAGAGCTAAAAAAGAAGCATATTTTCAACACATTTATCATACAGTTGGTATAGAAGGGAACACAATGACCTTGCAGCAGACTCGGAGCGTGCTGGAGACGAGAATTGCAGTAGAAGGAAAGAGTATTGATGAGCACAATGAGATTCTGGGCTTAGACGCTGCTATGAAATATATAAATTCAACGTTACTATATCGTTTGAGAGAGATTACTATGGGAGATATTCTAGAGATACATAAGAGGGTCTTAGGACATGTAGATCCAATAGAAGGAGGTCATTTCAGGAGAACCCAGGTTTATGTTGGGGGTCACATACCCCCGGGGCCATCAGAAATACTAGGCTTGATGAGACAGTTTCTTGAATGGTTAAACTCTGAAGATGCAATGGACTTGCATCCCGTTAGGTAAGTCTATATAAATAACATGTAGTTTATATATAATAATATTTGTTATTGAAAATTAAAGAATGCAATTTTATGTTTATATAACAACCAGTTATTGTTAATTTGACACCATGTAACATGGTCGACTGATGTCACAATCTATCCGTGAATATGCTTTTGCTGTTTTATCAATTTAAAGTAATTTTATTCACATTTTAACATAAATTTAAAATTCTTTCCTAATAATCATCATCCTTTTCTTGGTTGATCATTTTTTAGGTTAATTTTAGTATATAATTTTTTTAAGATATGCGGCTCTAGCACACTACAAGCTGGTGCACATCCACCCGTTTGTGGATGGCAACGGGCGCACCTCGCGGCTGTTGATGAACTTGCTGCTGATGCAGGCCGGCTTCCCGCCCGTCATCATCGCCAAGCACCACCGCCACCTCTACTACCAGCACCTACAGGCCGCCAACGAGGGCGACGTCAGGCCATTTGTCAGGTATGATGATATAAATTAAAATTATATTAATTCGCTTGACTTGATAGGTAATTAAATAAAAAATTGTTTTTTTAAAGTTTTACTATCTTAATTACAATATAGAAAACCGAAACATGGTAACTTAACTAATATTATTTAATTATCTCATGATCAATATATTTACTAGAACGTATCAGAGACTTCTGTATGATTTATTACTTGAAATAAACAAACTGTAAGGCAACAGTTTATCTCTGAAATAATAATTATATTGCACACAATCTAATTCATACATAATTATTGCTTTACAGATTCATAGCGCAATGCACGGAGCGTACTCTAAACCTGTATCTGTGGGCTACGAGCGAGTACAGCCACACTGTGCGCGCTATCGGGGAACCTCACATACTGACCGGGGAAGGATTTGAAGATGACTTACTATGACCAGACACTGACGCAGACATATAAAGTTTGTAGCTATGAAGCCAAGGCTAAGTAAATAACTCAATAATATTAGGTCATGTTTACACTAACACGATTTGACGCGCGACGACACACACTACGATTTATGTGTGTGTTCTGTAGTATCAAATTCTTCCATCAATCAAATTTTCGAAAAATTGTATAGAAATAAAATCATTGTATTAATATGAAAATATTTGTTTTTAAGACAAAACTGTCTGCAGGCGGACAGGAGTCTGTTTCCTAACATGTTTTAAGACATTTAATTAACTCATACAAAAAAGCATTTTAAAGAAGTAAAACTTCATTCATTTAAAGTTTCATTTATGTAATTTACAAAGTTTCTGGTGTACTTTTTTATTTATTTCCTAGTTTTGTAGGTGCTATTAAATTAAATCGATTGTCTAACATTCTTACTAATATTGGTCCCAGTGGACTGTTATATATTTATGTAAATAGTTAAATAACATTTATATAAGAATACTACCTATATGTTTAACACTTTTTGTTCTTCAATTATATATTATTATTCGTTTATCTTCAACATAGTTATGTGTAAAAGATTATCAATTAAAATTAACCAAAGAAATAATTTATATTTTATTTAAGTTCAGTACTGTACATATTTTCGTTGTGTAATATCTTGCCTCTTTAGAACCATCTGTAATTTGATTGTACATATTTACTAAGTTACTTTAATATGTATAAAATACTTAACGTAAAAACTGTATTGTAATAATACACTGTGATACCTTTCATTATTTATTTTATATCCTAGAGACGTATCGTAATTTACCAACGATAAGTTTATGTGGTTATGTTTACGTTAAACAAAATGTGTAATGTTGGTACTAGATATTCAATGTACTATAAGATTCTGTTTGCATTCATTGAATTTTGTTGTCTTCCTAGATAATTAGCATGTATTAAACCGTTTATTTTTATTGACTCCAGTACAAAATCTTTAATCATACTTAAATAAAATGCTGCCAAGGAAATTCAATCTTTCATTTCACGTTAAAAATCCCTTTACTGCCCCGGGTTAAATGAACGCTGGATTACAACTGAATAAATGGAATGCCCACCCAGTGCGTTGACTAGAATAATTTAAACCAGGATTAAATACTAATCAATAATTAGAGGATAAAGTTGTGATAAATGAAACAAAATATTTCGTCAATTTCGATTAATTTATTATAATGTGCGATGTTAAAATATGTTTTATTACAATAAAGCATTTCAACTAGGACGATCCGCCGCCGCGCCTCGGTCCTCGCGCCCTCCCGCCTCCTCACAACACCTCATACAAAACTAAATTCATTCCAAGGCAAGGACGAACTCTCATCGTATTACAGTCATATCAATGTTATGTACGTATTATAATAGAGAGATTATCGTTCAGTGCGAAACATCGGCGCATGCAGCCCCTCTGATACAGAGGACCGATATATCATTTTATAACAAGCACTATCTAAATTACTTCACAAGCCGTAGTACCCTATCTCCCTTTCAGAACGTCAACTCCTTTTCAAAGGCAAGAAAAACTTTCTGCGCTGTTAAATATATATTTGTTTTAAAAACATGAATGGAATTGACGTCCGTATAACAAAGTTCTTGTTGAGGTCTCCACAGCTCGCTCGCTATAGGCACATTTTACTACACTTTTAACGACGCCGGCGCCATCTTTAAAATCAATGACATTTAAAAAACCAAACCATAAACAAGCTAGACATAGAGCAGTCTTAAAAAATTTATTTCGTAAAATCACACAGCAAATAAAAATGGCCACGGAGGTAATTGCTAACTTGGCATAATGAAATCTTTAATATTTATATAAACAAACTCTCACACCTGTATTCAAAAGGGGTAGGGTACAGAAAAAAAACTGGTAAATTTCTAGAAAAATACTTGACAAATATTTACCATATCTTTAAAAATCTGTTTAAGAAAGAAATTATCGATACAAAAGTTCCAATAAATCATTCCGATTTGAAATACAGTGCGTTGACAAAAAATTAATGACAAAAATTTATAAAATTCTCTATCAATTTATAATGAAAACAAAACAATTTTATATTCTTCAACAGAAAAAGATATTGATTAGCCAAATTGCTCAAAAATTATCTCAAAAATTAAATACACATACATATGTTATATGTTTTTTTTAGTTATATTTGTTGATATTGTTATGTTAATTTGAGAATATTAATTAAAGTTACACGCATCATTACATTTTATAATATATTTTTACATTTTTTTTCAATATTTATACATCTACGTGTAGAAATTTATTTCACCGGTGAATAAAATAGCAAAGCAATGATGATGTTTTGTAAATGACGATCCATACATTAAAAAGAAATTTAGACTTTGTTATTAACGCCTCTAATATTATCACAATTAAATACTTTCTTATATTAATTCCCACTTTACTATGAGTAGTGATCACACTAATTCGTTTGTAGATTTTCATTTTTAGTCGACTACTATTAATTATCGAAACTCAAAGACAAGTAAATTGTCTAAATAAAAATATGGAATCTCGTATAATGTCTTAGTTTTATATTATAAAGAAGCTAAGCGACCATTTTGTCATCGAAAGAAAAAAGAAAACTAGTGTCAAATTTTTCGTAGTTAATCCAACAAAAAATGGCCGCCAACTCCAAATATTGGGCAAAAATTAATAAATCTTTAATATGGTTCCGACACAAACATCCCTCATTCGAATAGTTTAGTATCTAGGATATCTAACTTATGCTAAATCTAAATATTCTAAGGACGTGTTCAGACTGTGTCTATACGGACCAGTATTTATATCAAAAATGATGTGAACCGTAAAAAAAAGCTAGGATATACACACGAATTTTCTATTACGATGGATTTGCGATGAATTAAAAAAAATGTATATAAATATTTTTATTATATTCTAGCCGTGACTTATAAATATCGTTCTATATCTTGTTTCAATCCAACGCCGAAATTAAATAAACAGTATAACGTCAAATTCTAAACATGGCGGCCATTATGATCATTTACTTTTCTGGTTAGTATGTGAATATTACGAGACAAAGTTGAATGATACTCAAATAATGATAGCTTAGTATTTCGCCAGAAATATTTTGGAATAAGAAGAAAAGAAATATATTGAATTTTAGTGTGCAGTTTGACTATATTTTAGGTTTTGGATTGGAACAAGATATAATAAGTTGGCAATAACAATACGAAAGTTACTAGTACAAATTTTATGATAGACAAAGTCGGCTGTCAACATTTGAATAAAAAGCGTCAAACGTAGAACCTCGCATGTTCTGTATCACAATAGGCCCAGTACACTTAGAACTGTGCCGTTCATACAATCATTTAAATATTGTTCGTTTCGTCTAACTTTTACAATTTAAAAGACACGAAGAATTCGTCAAGAGGAAATAATTCGCAAGTAAATTATAATTTAATCGCGATTATTAAAGTAACTCCGAGCAAAAAACGAATTCAGTTTTGGCCAACAATTAATATATTTCTCAGTACAATATAGTTTTGTTTAAGTCTTTTTCATTGCAGAAAAGCAACACAATAACCTCTCCCCCTTTTCTCCTCTGCATAAATTTCAACAATACAATAACAAGCGACTCGTCAAAGCAAAGATATGTCAATACTTCAACAGATTCGACGCAGCAACAAATATTTATAATGTTAATTATAAGTATATTAATTCATTCTCACAACATCTCGAGTATTGATCGATTTCATCATATATAGGATATTAATTTTGTCATACAATTACATACAGACATGCAGACATACAGACACACGACACACGACACAGAGACGCGCCGCACAGGTCAGCAGCATCACATCGCATCGCATCGCCTTGTACTCGGACAACTCAACCAATCTCCAGCTAATTAAATATAATATATCTACAATTTGACAAGTAGGCCTTTAGCGAAGTTAAATGCATTCAAGTTAGGTAATTAGGAAACACTTATAATGTTAAATATTTATGAAACAAAACTGCGATCACATTGTTAAAGAAACATCGTCACACGGATTTACACAAAATTTTATATTTATAGAGCCTTATTTTATTCAATAATCTATTAGTAGTTTTTTACCTATCGAGAAACTTACACACTGAACGGATTTGTTTACCGATATACCACATCAAAATCTATCTTTACAAACGACTCAATAATATCGATTGCGCCTGTCTCCAACTCAACTGATACGTTTACGGCTCTACACGAAATATCGTCTCAGGAAATTCTGCTTTGTCAAACAAAAAAAAATTAGTCGTTTCATCGAAGCAGGAACACCAACAGGAATTCCCGAGACCGTTACATTATCCGTTCCATCATTCCGGTCACAGATCAGTAGACCAGCTACGTCGCGTCTTTTCCCGCGAAATGTTTTCATAGGAACGATCGGTCAATCGGCACTCAAAGACTCGCGAGTGACGCCACCTCGCGGTCTGTTAATCTGTTCGGATGACGGCAAAGTTAGAAAAGCAATGGCAAATTTATAAATCGAGTTTAGTTCGGAGGTCGCGCGCTCGCTCTCACAAACAAACTCACTAATTGTTCATACAAATTATCATTAACATAAAACCTATGCAAGAGAAATCAATAAATAAACTAATAGTAAGCGCAGCGTCGAGCCCTCGGAGCCGCGTCGAGCTACGCACTGAGCTCGCGCACCCGCGACAGGTGCCGGGCGACAGGCGACAGGCGACAGGTGCCAGGCGACAGGTGTCAGGTGCCAGGTGACAGGCGACAAGTGCGGGGGGCGGCGGCTAGTGGTGCCGCGGCTGGATGCGGCGCGACATGTGCTCCTCCTGCTGCATCTTGGCGCGGAACTTGGCCACCAGGTCGCGCGACTGCGCCAGCACCACCAGCTGCTCGTTCAGCAGCTCCTCCCACTGCGTCGCGTACGCTGCAACATCACACACGCACACACAATCACTACATATATACATACTGAATAAGGGAACACAACCCGTAGCTTTATCGTGCGATCAAGATGGACGCTTTTCCCGAATAAGCGTTTTTTGTAAACCAAGGAACCACGGGTTAGTTTTTTATCTTCATATTTTACAACATGCACGGTTAAAAATACGTGAGCGTATATTGTTTTAAAATAAACTTCCATATATTAAGATTATAGAAATGATATATGTTAATCTTTGTGTGTCATTTTTCTGTTTTAACTCCGTTAAAGAACATTCGCAGTTCAGGTTAGGAAATATTTAAATAGCATAATACGTCATGCAAAAGTATTTTTAGAAATCCTATGTAAACAAAAATTCCCAGTACAAATTAAGGTGAGCTATGGGTATTGGCGTTGGCGATGAGCGGGTTACGGCGATGGCGATTGCAATCAGACCTAGTTTGTTCCACAAGGTGGAGTGGTGAGCGCGCGCCGCCCGCGCCCTCTTGTGCCAGTGCGACAGCCCTGAACCGTCCCGACCCGTCCCGACCGGACATGCATTATACATACAATATACATACATACATGCACACATACATACATACACGTACACAAAAGCCAGCTCATATAAGTGCAATGTGCAACAATATACAGAATTTCAGCATTACTAACTAAAAGCAACTACGTAACAAATACATAAAGAAATCAAGAACTTGTTAATTTTGACTCTAATTTTAATTTGAAATACTGTCATTATATAGGTACACATATAGATTTCCAGACTTGTGTATGTCACAACCGGGGTACAATTTTATCTGTTGGGTTGTTATAACAGGGGATGTTTTGTAAACATGTAAACAGTGAAAACCCCTCCATACCGTCCTGATCGTAGTCAACATCGCGTGTGATGGCGAAGAGCTGCGAGCACCGCTGCAGCGCGTGCTGCATGTAGTCCGCCACCGCCTTGTGGTTGTCCAGCACCTCCTCCTCCGCGCGCTGCAGCTCGTCTATCACCTCGTGGAAGGTGAACATCTCCGCAGACATGTCGCCCTCCTGAACAACAACATTAAAATTACTGATTTCTACAGTAAATGCGAGGTAACCTTTTTTAAATTGGTATAAGAGATGCGGTTAATTGAGTTTAATCAGAGATGTGGACTGACATTGAGTGAGCGCAGCTGCGCCAGCTCGTGTCCGGGCGGCTCCATGTCGACGTCTGCCAGCGGGGACTCGGGCCGCCCGCGCGCGCCCTCCGCCGTGCCCAGCTCCTTCACTCTGCAAACACATCCCGTTACATTTATAACACCTACAAATACTAATATTTTATATTATAGACCAACAGGCAGTATTTATTTCGACGAGGATACCATATCAGTCAGTCGACTGACTTCCAAAAGGAGGTTCTCAGTATGTATGTTTTTATGATATATGACCTTAGTAGTATGTGGATGTTACCTGTCGGCATATCTGAGCGTGTTGAGGGAGTGCTCGCAGGAGGACATGGCGGGGGAGATCATGGCGATCATGCAGGTGCGCGACTTGTCCCCTATGAAGCTGTCGCGCAACACCTGCGTCAGCTTGGAGACGCGGAAGGGCAGGTGGTTGTTGCCCTTCATGCCCAGCGCGCGGATGCACTCCTTCAGCGCCAGCAGCGACTTGTTGATCTCCGCGCTCTCCATACCTGCCGCACAATACATACACACACGCACATGACACATCTCACAATGTTTTGGTATATTCAATAGTGCAAAGTATGAAAGTACATACGCGTCTGCCTGTTGGCGGAGGAGGTGTCAGCGCCGCGCTCGTTGCCGGCGAGGTCGATGAGGGAGAACTTGCCATGCACGCGGTTCATGCCGGGAGACCGCACCACTATTTGGAACACGGCGTGCGATCGCGACGAATTCGAGTTCGCAGATGTCTGTACAAATTACAATTAATTATATTAATACAACATTTTCTGATACTCTAACTGTTCATGTCACTCAGAACATAGATGTATCAAACAAAATTATGTAATACTGGCGACCCGCGACTTCGTCAGCGCAGAATTGGAAAGAAAGAATTGATTTTTTCGTTATGAGGTATAGAAATAAATAATGTGTACAAAACATAATTGACTTGTATATAAGATAGGAAGACTGGAATACGTATAGATAGTGAGTTATAAGTGTCGCAGCGTACCTGCCCGGAGGTGCGCGCGGCGTTGCCGTGCTGTATGAGGCGCAGCACCTCGTCCACGCTGTCGACGCAGCGCTCGGTGAGGCCCACGATCTGCACCTGCTGCTTGCCGTCCTCCAGCACCCGCAGCTTCGCCTTGTCCGCCAGCAGGTCGAACACCTGACTCACACACACACACACATCAACCTCCGCTTGCACTAGCGCTTTCTGGAATTGTGCTCTTGAAGACTATTTATATGAATGGCATAAACCAAGCAATTGATTATATTGTTTGTTTTTTATTTATAAATATCGTTCTAAAAATATGGCAAAGTATAAAAGAATTGGTGATTTCCTGTTTCCTTCAATATCTGAACTGCTCAGATAAGAGCACAGGACAGTGCGTACCTTTCCGGAGTATATTTCGAAGAATGAGGCGGAGACGATGAGGTTGAGGGGCTTGTACTTGGGGGACTTGAGATACGTGAATACGTCGCGCGCCGCCATCGCGTAGATACCCTTCTTGCAGTCCTGGATCTTGCCCTACAACAACAAACATATTCATTACCGCACTCACAGTTAAGTGGTCACTAAAGGACAGTCTTAGTGTGAACATGTACGGGTGAAAGTGGCAACGAGGAGTACCTGGAAGTCTCCCCCCATGGTGTGCGTCTTGCCGGAGCCGGTCTGTCCGTAGGCGAAGCAGGTGGCCATGCCGCCCTCGAAGATCGTCTGCACTAGCGGCTTGGCCGTGTATCTGCAACAACAACAAAGTGCAACTTATAGACATTTAAGAGGAAGACGTCTCCTCCGTGATAGAATCCAATGGAGGAGGGGACGCATAGTAAGTGGAAATATTGTCTTTCTGAGGGTCTTGGTTGAAGGTACTTTTGGTACAAGTGCAAAAGTTATTATTATAATAAATTATTACAAATCCAAACTTACTTGTAAACAATTTCATTTGTACAGGAATCATCGAAGGCGTAGTCGAATCGGAATTTCTGGTTCTCGAGATATTTGGTGAGGTCCACTTTGTTCTTGGGCTCGTGCACTATCATCTGGTCCTTCGTGGGCACACTTATTACATCCACCTGCAATATTTTATGCAGAAATACAATCATAGTGAACAATTTATATACTCGCCAGGTATCAGAGGAGTATTTATAGCACAGTTTTTTTTTAATTAACAATACTTTTTGAAAGATCTTGTGATCCTTACAATATGTTTTTATACAAGTATTTTGACAGTGTAAAACTACAGTTAGTTATATGTCCCTGTTGGGTTTCCATTGGTATAGTTGATGAGGCACCTCTTTTTTATTGATTTCCTTCTTGTTGAGCGGGCGCTTGCGGACGCAGACTGTGATCTGGTGATCCTCGACAGGCTCGGAGCCCACCAGCGGCCGGAACTCGATGCTGCTCTGGTACTCGCGGATCATCGCCAGAAACTCCCAGTTCGGGTTGCCGGGATCCATGTTCATTAGGGCCTCCTGAACACATTCGCAATGGTATTTGTTAATTTATGTATTTAATGACGCACCTGGAGACGTAAACTAGTCACTGAGGGGACAATAAATGTAAATTTTTTACTCTAAAAGAAATCTCATAATGGACCATGGAACTTATTTGAAATAATGAATTAATTTTCATTTTGATGAAATTGTGATCAGACCGTATTGCCTTTAATTTAAGAAAGTTATCATCGCCCTGTCTTTATATCGTCCTCTATATATCTACAGTTAGTCATTTCAGTGGTCAGTTCGGTCAGTACCTTTTCCTCCTTGAGCTCTGCCTGTCGCTGTCGCCGCTTCTCGCGGTTCTCCTTGAGGCGCTCGACCTCCTTGACGACGTTGGAGCGCCGCACCGCGCCCGAGGCCACGGCGTGCGGCACCGACGCCGCGCTGGCCGAGGCCGCCGTGTTGCGCGCCATGCCCCCGCCCCCGCCCCCTGCACCTCCGCCTCCGCTGTTACTGAACTGCAACACAAACACCGGGGAAGTAAGTAAAAGTCCTTTGAATGCTCCCTATTTAGAATAAGTATTCGCAGATTGCTTAATCATTTCCTTCTATTAAAGTTGTCCGTATTTATGAAAATTCTGTGATAAAGTTTTTACCTAAATAAATATTCTACTTTTTCTTCTAAAAACTTGATGCATACGTAATCCTTAAAATTTTGCTATTGTGATGATGCCCTATATTAATTGAACTATATAGGATTATAAGAGTGGACTAGGTCTGGGTAAAGGAATGAGGCAAGGATAGGAATATGAGGAACCTCTTTGATGTTTTGCATGCGTTTCTGTCCCGAGTTGGGCGGGTGCTGGGCGTGGTGCGGATGGTGCGAGTGCTGCTGCGTGAGCGAGGCGGCGCTGGGCGTGCTGCCCGTGCGCGACCGCCCGCCCGACGCCGGCATCTGCAAACAGCGCGCCGTAGCAACGGGACGGGGGACACGAGGACGAGGATAAGGATGTTATAAACGTCCCATTTCCATAGAGGAGTCGGGGTTATTCTGACCTGCTGCGTGAGTCGTGAGTTCGAGGGCGGCTGTTGCTGCGGCTGCGGCGGCGGAGGTACATTTTCTGCGCCGCGGCGGCCCGTCGTGTCTCCACCATGCCCGTTCGTGTACGCACCCGCGTTCGACATACGCATCTGGTTGTTACGCGTCACGCGCGCCGGCGCTGGAATACACGTATAAATTCATACAATGTCATAAATCAAAGTTTCAGGTCATAAGTAAGACGCTTTTGAACTGTGACCTTCCACTTATCAGAGTAGTAGAACTAAATTCATTAAAGCACACTGTAGCTCATTATGATTACAAAGACAGTCCAGGGTCGCTTATACAATATAGTTTACTTAATATTGCTTCATCATCTGATTGTACCCTGCATAATTACAATTAAATGAAAAAAACATGTTTGTATGTACTGTCAGAATGCAAATAAAAAGTGCAAAAGCTGTACATCCCTACAATAACCGGTGCATCAGAACAGTTGTCATCGGTCTTACGTGGCTCATTATCTTCATCCTTGGGTTGCGCCACTTCGACTGGCTTTTCGACCTTTTCATAGGCATCCATGGGCCGACATTCCGCCGCGTCGGCCACTCGCTTCCTACAGCGGAGCCACGAGCAGCACATATTTGGTGATATTTTCAAATATGGTTATATCTTTTTATTTGCGCGAGCTCTGGACCGCGTCGTTTGCGTGTTCAAATTTGGTATACTTTCAAATTTGGAACAATAAATTGTCTCAATCGACGTGTACTCCCGTGACAGACGGATAGATGAAAATGGCGGCTACGTGCGTTGGCGCAAGGCGATCCTGCGCCTGCGCCGGCCGCCATATTAGGATCTCTTTCTGTACTCAAGGCAATGAACCGTGACGCACGCGAGCGCACGAAGGTGAAACCTCGCACCGACTGTTCACTTGGAATGTCCTACAAGTTGTTTATGTAAATGTTTACGATAAATAGCCACTGGTCACGGTCGTAAGAGGCAAAAATTTAACACAGCTCACAATCAATTGGCTGCTATAGTATGAGGTCGGGAGCGGGCCGCGCGGAGGCAGCGCGGCGGTGGAACTGGAGCGCGTCAGTCTCGTACTAATATCGTTAGACAATTATTGGAATTGTGTGATTGCCTGTCGACGTACAGTCAGCGTCATATAGATCGTCACAGACAAGATATGCAAATATATAGGTACACCAAAAGTATTCAATTATATCGGTACAACAAAAGTCCTCAAAATGATAGATACATTCACCCTGCTCAAAAACATCGGTACATACATAGCGTCAAATATATGAGTACATGCAAGATGCTCATAAATATCGTAGCAGCCACAGCGTCATAAGTAACGAAGCAGTCAAGGTGCGCAAAAATATCGGTACATTTGACAAAATTGAACTCTATCTCTATATACTTGTGATACAATTTGGAATAAACTACTTCTGTTACATTCATTTGACACTTTGCATCAAACCATTTTTCAAAATTTACTAAAAGTGTTCGACGCCGATGACAGATATTAGGTAGATAAAACCAACATCAAATTTTAGTTTGTCATCATATATGTTAGTTTGGTCTCGTGGCCTTACCGTTCGCCGCCGTTGGTACGTAAGGTCGGCGGTTCAAATCCCAAACCACTATTTTTTTTTTGATATTTAAACTTTTTAATTTTAATATCGAAGCACATTTAATTAAACTCTATCGCCGTAGTTATTAGGTACTTTTTGATATTGCCTTGGACTAATGAGTTTGACCGTTAAAGTACTTTTTCAAACAAAAATGAAGGAGATAAAGCGATGCTATTGGCATGTAATTTGTTTATTACTCATGTTTGTTAAACTTGTACCGATAAAAATAACACTTTTACCTTTTACTGATACTGATTATATTTAAGAAACAAAGAAAAAAAAACTGAATGTCAATATCCAAATTACATCAAATTTTTGGTTGATTGCAATAAACATTCCAGTATGCGTGGGCGCGCACACATATGTAGATAACACTTGTACGTATAGTTTCCGCGCGTACCATTCTTAAAACCCGCAAAGACAATCCACACTCCGCCCACTCACTTCACCCGCGATGGTCTGACCTAATTGTTGTTAACTTTATTTAAATTTCTTTCTACCCGACAGCGAAAATTATAAAAAAAAATTGTCGAGCAAAATTTTACATTACCAAATTTTTACTGGTTATGAAAAAATAACCCCGTGATTGATAAAATGAAAAAAAAAAATAGCCTGAGATTCGAACCGGTAAACTTACATATTACGGCAAACATACTAGAATACTGCGCCAAACTAGTATATATTGTGACAAGGCAAAATTAGTTATTACGTATCTGATATTAGTTATTACGTATCTGTCATATTCGGCGTGACAAACTTTTATAATATATTTAAGCGTTATGACAGGAGAAGAAAAATATTGGGTTGTCCAGTAAGTTCGTGCCGCTTTATAAGGAAAATTGAAACCCTGTTCTCTTAAATTTTTGGAAATGTTTTTAAATTATATTGGTACGACTCTATACCTAAAACGTCTTTTATTATTGGATAAAATTTTAA